TTGGCGCAGAGACACAGCCGCGCTCTGTTTGCACCAACAGTTTTAGAGCAGGGGTGGTGGGGGAGAGAAGAGAGACTGAAACTCATCGCAGCCGTGTGCTGTCTGTAGCGACAGTCTTTTTTTGGGGGGTGGGGGGGGGTGGGGGGGCAGAGACACATTTGAGCCATGCGCTGTTTGTACCAACAATTTTCGGGGGGGTGGCGGGGTGTCAGTGTGATGGTTCAGCATGAAGGAAGAGGCTGCCTTTAGTTCTTTTAGCTAGTGCGCCTGCATTGCGAACTGTTAGTTTAGCGTTATGTCAGTGCCGACAGGTGGTTGCAGGGGTCAGTAGACGCAGTGCTTGGTTCTGTTGATGGGGCGGGGTGTCCTGATTGTATAATTGTAGGGGAAACACTGCATTCCTTAAAAGGATCTCTGACTAGTTGGGATTAAAATAACTTTTTCAACATTAATGACACACTGACAGTGTCATTTTATTTTGTCTGAAATGCATTCTGGGTAAAGGTGGGCGTGAACTAAAGTTTTCAGTGCTGCGTGTGAGGGTTAGTAAACCCACTAGTGATAGAGTTTCATTCTGTCCCAAAAAATCAGATCCATCCCGGCCCCAGACTGCAGTCATCATTTCTGAACCTCCCCCGACCCGACGAATTAACAGTAATTACAGGTCCGAACCCGGAAGAAACTCCAATGTTTTTAATTAGTTATTAATGGTCAAAGACGCGCATCTGAATTAAGGGGCAGAAGATGGGAACTGAAGTGGTGTTTGTCCTTTCATGGCCGCATTTAAACCCTGTTTCTGCCTGCATTCTTATGAATTACTCAGACACGCGGACAGATCTGACACACGTCTGCTTTGGGATACACCTGTCGTCAGGGACGCACAGCTGAATAAAAGATGCAGAAGATTCGGAGCTGAGGGGGTGTTTGTCCTTTCATGGCCGTCAAAGAGCATTTAAACACTGCTTCTGCGTGCATTCTGATTTATTCAGACACAAACCCTGCTCCGACACGTCTGCTTTATGATCTCACCTGTTTGGGTTGTTGTCCGTGCACGTACACTGAGTGCAGCGGCTGAGTGAACGTCCATCCGGGCGATGGATCGCTCCCTGGCAGTATAGTCCCGTCTGAAGCTTAACAGAACTTTTGAACTCTTTCAAGGTTGGTCAGCTCACGGTGAAATGGCCACGTGCGGCTGGTGAAGTATGGCAGGCCATGTTATTATATAATTGGATTGCGACTGATCCTAACCCAATTAAAAGCCTGACACCGACCCGGCCCGCCCATCCAGCACATTATCATGGCCCGGCCCACTCCGCCCTGAATTTGGGTCGGGTGGGGCCGGGCTTAGGGCTCGGGTTAGAAATAACAGTTCTAACTAGCAATAGCCTTAAAGGGCGAAGTCTATACGAAACAGAACAGGAGATTGTTGACAGAGGGCAGATGGAAGAAATGATTCCACTTTCTGGTTAGCAACAGTGCTAGCTAGCTAGCTATATATAAACATATGTAGCTTCAGAGCTAATAAATTAAACATCAGAAGTTGTTTACATTTGATTGTTTCAACCTATATATTGTGCATAAGGATTAATACAAAATATAACTTTATTGTCACATTAAATATAACTATTTAGCCTCAGCTCTTGTGTTTTAGTCTCCACTACAGCCGATGTACACCACTGGCCCAGAATGCACTGCACCGATAAAATAACGGTAACGTCCTTACGTGAAAAATGTAATAAACATATATATTTTTTTGGATTAATTAGGAGTTTTCACATGTCACTAATAACACCTTTTAGTACAACAAAGAAAAAATATTAAGTCCAATATGTGCAATTAGTCTGTGATCCCTTTATTCTTTTTATTTCCTTCAAATAAAACGCTAAACTCTGATAAAAACATACTTTGCTGATTCCACGTCTTTCGAAGCTGAGGCATCACCTCGGCATAGTCCTCGTTTTCAGCAGTTGCCGTCAACGTCAGACCCTTCCCAAACCGAAGCACTGTGCATAATTAAAGGCTTTGATCTGGATTCAGGATCCGGTTGTATCGTGGGATGCATCTGCACGCTCCTCTCCGAGCACCATTTATAATGCAGCACTGGGTTCTGGGTTCTTGCTGGGAAAATCCTGCTCTTATAGGTATATGATGCTCAATTATCGCGCATTGCCGCAACTGATCTTTTACGTGTTCGTGTAGGAGGAATCCATCAACAATTTACGCTACAAGGAGACGTCAGCACAGAATGTCTGGGTGGAAACGGTTCGATCTGAGCTGCTGCAAGTCAGAGTTTGTTTGGATCCTTCGGGATCAGGTTCCTCACTGTACCTCCTACACCGTTCATTCAGGAGGCATGTGCCCATTTTAACATAAAGGCCTAGTGCTCCTTGAAGGAACGCATAGCGCCTGCTGCCTTTCATGAAACTAGAATCAGCTGATTCTGAGAGGGAATGGAGCTGTAGCCATTTTGGGGTCTGTAAATGTTCATTCAGTGATTATTTGCTCAGAGTTTCAATAAAATCCATCCATTGATTCCTGAGATATTTTGCCAACAAAACAGACAAACATAAGCAAAAACAATTTTGCCTTTTAAAGATTTGAGTTTTCTTCCTCCTATTCATGAAAGACCTTTAATTTGAAAATAGTTAGAGACATAAAGGGCTATAATTAAAAGCAAAAAAAAAAAAAGAGACTGTTTCAACCTGTGACCCTGAAGAATAACGTCCCGGAGCTCGAGAGACCGTGCCCTTCACGGAGCCGATGGAGCTGTCGACACTTTTCCCGCTGCAGCAGTGAGTGCGCAGACACTTCCCGTACTCTTTACGCACCTACAGGAAACAAGAACCGTACAGCACGTTAGCATCTCATCGAATGTCTGACTCATTTAGACGTTTTTATAGTTCAAAACATCAAAGTTCATGTTTAATCATCCAGGTAAAAAAAATCCAACAAAGTTAAGTCAGATCCTCTGGTTGGTTTCTTTTCTTGTTGAAACATTTCGTCTTTTATCTAAAGGACTTCATCAGTCCGAGGGGCCACAATAAACTGCATCCCATAAGTGGCTTATTCACACAGTGAGCCAACCAGTTTTATGGTGATAAGATGTTTTCTGGAGTCCACCCTCTCCCCCGTTGACTCCGCTGAGGCAGCTATAGCCCAAGTGGTTCAAAACGCATGATGAAGTCCTTTGTATGAAGGATGAAACGTAAAAAAAAAAAAAAAAAAAAAAAAAAAGTTCAGAGGACCTGGATTAACGTTGTTGTTGTCTTTTTTTTATAGTGTTTACACAAAAATCTTGTTTTTTTTTTTAAGTTCTGTCCACTGATGCAGTGCTCCAGAATTATATTCATTTTAACATAGTGAAATTATAGCTCTTGATTTTATTTTATTTTTTTAAGTGGGCTTATGTGGAAAGTTTATAAACAAAAGTTTACTTACCTGGTAAGTAATAGTACATAGCTGGTAGTACATAGCTTTTTGGACAAACCTTTGGTTTTGGAAACAGATATCGATTCTGACTGGGTTGATGAGATAATGGCTCATTAAAACGAGGCTGAGACAAAAATGGATTGCTGCTGTCCTTTAGAAGAGGCCGAACGCTATTTTAAAAATCTTTACATTGCTGTCACTTTCACATTAAATGCTCATTTATATGGAAATATATCATTTACACTAAAAACTGTACATGTGAAGTCTGGAACCAGTAATGGACCAAATTATACGTAACCGGACAAACTTCCTATCTCAGACAAGTAAATTGTGTTTGTTTAAACTACCATTACTTCTTTTGGGGCTTTTTATACCAAGTTTCTTTGGTATCTGAAAAATTTTCATCACATGTAACTTTATTTGGTAATAGACTATAGACAACTCAGTCTTTAGCATAAACAGCGTCTAATGTAAAAGGGACATAGTCAGTCAGTCAGTCCGTCCGTCCGTCCGTCCGTCCGTCCGTCTTCCACCACTTCTTCCAGGGTTGGTTCCCAGGGACATCAGAATAAGCTTGGAGGACACCCGGTGGCATCCTTACCAGATAAAACCGTCTTAACTGGCTCCTTTTGATGTGGAAGAGCAGCGGTTCTTTTCCAAGTATATCCTGGATAAATGAACTTCTCACCCAATCTCAAAGGGAGAGTCCAACTACCCTGTGGATAAACCTAATTTCTATCACCTGTATCCATGATCTCGTTCTTTCAGTCACTATCCAAAGTTTGTGACCATAGGTGAGTGTAGGAATGTTGACTGGTAACCAGAGAGCTTTGCCTTATAGCTCAGCTCTCTCTTCACCACATTGTTGTAGTGCAAAGGTAGTAGTGCACAATGTAAAGGTTTGTAAAAGAATTTTAACATAAACTGCTATGACTGACTGATTTAACGATATATATTGGAGTTGTTTTAAGGCACCAGCAATCCACTTCGGTCCTGGACCAATTTAGGCTAACCATTAGCTTGACTATTCATTCAGAACCAGTCAGTTTATCCAAATAAGCTCATTCAGCATGTTTCAAACAGTCCAAACTATTCCTTTTAGGAGCAAACATTAATGAACGAAGGGTAAATATGTACCTTCTTTTGCAGCACACAGTGGAAGATGAAGATAAACATTCCCTGTAGGGAGTTGAAGATGGTGAAGAGGTAAGCCATGACCACAGTGCTCTCATTAACGTACATCAGACCAAAGGCCCAGGTCAGCCCGAGGAGGCAAAGCAAGGCAATGGCCCCAATGACCCATGACCTGAAAGGAAAACAGTCAAATTAAGGACCACTTCATGTGTAATATTGGTTCACCCTAAAGGGAAAGTCGTGACACCAGTTACTGAGCACTGAGTGTGAAGGAAAGGGTTGAAGTCTCTGTCCAAGCTAGGCTAATCGCTAACCAAACAAGATCTTGTTTATTATTGTTTTTAGGCTTATAGAACAACTATTTTTGATACAATACAATGTTAGCTACGGTTAAATATAGACAATTTGAGTGAATTGGCTGGTTTGGTTTGTCATCAACCAGTGGTGACTCCAGAATTTTTTTTTATTGGGGTGTAATGGGGTGCCATTTAAAATCCTGGGGTGGCACACCAAAACCAAACGCTCAAACAAAATTTTAGGAGATTTGATATGTTCTTGTCATATATACACCATAGGTTATTTGACAAATAAAGCAGCACAGGACTTAGGGAATCACCTTCTAATACTGTATACATAGTTCTACTAAGAATCATAGTTATTCAGAAAAGTACCATTGATACTTAACTTATTGAAGATCCTCTCCTAAAGTTATATTTATGTGAATAAAGGATATGTATATAACCTCCTGAGAAAGCACATCCTCATGTTGAGGACTTTGGTTTTAGATCAGTTTTTGTTATTCAGGTAAACTAGTTTGTTGTTGTTGTTGTTTTTATATTTATGAGGATTTACTCTTCCTAAACATCTAGGGGAAATTAAAGCCCAACAAAAGCTTGGGATTCAAGAGTCTGGCCAAGATGGCTGGTGGGGGCCCCACCTTTTTCTGAGGTGGCCATTGCCCCTGTCCTCCTAATGTATATTAGCTTATGTAGCTTTCTTTCTCATTGGTATGGTGTTTTTAGAAAAAAAGTTATTTAACAACTCTGAAAAATTACAAACAAGTGTCCCTTGTTTGGCTAGCTTTTAGCTTAACTTGGACAAAAACTTCAGCCCTTATTTTATACTTTGTACTCTGACGATGTCACAGCTGATCAGGGACAACTGATAACTATCTCACAGGAAATCACTTGACAAGACTGTCCTTTTTTCAACACACACAAAAAAAATGTAATTCAATATAACCCCCTGATATGTTTTTTTAATGAACAGATGATTTATTACAAAAATTATGCATAAGGATGGATTTGATCATTAGTTATTTATTGGTTGTTCTCTCCAATTTGGACTCTTCCAAAAAGCCAGCAAAAAAAGTTAAAATTATACAAACCGTAAAGATTTCTAACCTTCAGAGTGAGAAATACTGTATTTCCTATAGAAGAAAATATGACTGTGTAAAACGTTGGACTCTTTTTGCCTAAGGCTTTTAAATAAGGGTCTTACTGAGAGTTTAAGTGAGATAAACATCCTTTCGATTACTGTGCCTTAACAATGAAGCGCTCTCTCTTTGTGCCGGTGCACAGTGTAGACAAGTGGCACTTTGTTTTGGCATTTAGGTGACACACCGTGTGCTGCAGCAGGTGAGGCGGAGTCCAGATTAATATCTGATTCTTGTCAGAGTCTGTCAGCAGCATTTGGCACATATGAAATCTTTGCTTTCAGCAGATCAAATCAACATACATCTAGCCTGAGGAGGTATAGTAGTCATGTTTCCTTTTCCAAGCCCAATTTAATGAGACGCATAGTTTGAACTGAATTATGCACATTGGAATAATCAGGTTACTTTGACACTGTAGTATTTGCAGTGCAAACAACACCTTACTGTCAAGAATGAAGTCTAGTGAGCAATGTGACTGGTTCTATGAGGATTGCAGCTTTCACATCTAATAACACTAAGAGAGCAGAAGAATTGAAAGTAAAGTTTGAATAATATATATATATGATACTGTCAGAATGTTTTAAAATTGCTTGCTGCTTCTTAAAAATTTGCTTCCAAGTAGCCAGACTCATGTCGTTTTAAGTGGTTTTAATCAGAAGTCTGTAAATCTTTCTGGAGGTGTTTCCAAGTGTTTGTCTGAACATTGGCTGCTTTTTCACGTTTTACGTTCAGTATATTATTCAGTGTGTGTTTAAAAATGAGGAACATCTGCGTGACAAGTGAAGATGTGTCAGACAGTAGATGAACAGTATCCAAAATTCATGTGTTTAAAAAAATAATCCAGCGATCACCTGACATAGGAGCCAATTATTAACTGTGCAGAAAGTTTTTTAAAGTAATAAAATCAACTTGTAAATGCTCAAATATTTCATATACATTTACACTGTTATTTTCCTCCCTTAAATTCAGCATACAAATTGTGTTAAAAGTGTTTTTGTGACAGACTTCTGGTAACTAGCCAGTTGTTAGCTAGCTACCAACAAGCTAACAAGTAATCCTAACAGCTCTTTGTAAATTACCTCGGTGCTAAAATTGAATTTTATGTTTATTAAACTGTGTTAATGACATTTTTTTAACTAAATGAACTGTAACAAGTTACGTCTTTATTACAAATGGCCGATGTCGAAGGCACTAGCTACATTTCCAAGCTATCACTTCAGCTATCTAAAATTCCAGTCTTTTTTTTTTTTGCTAAATTGTCTAAGTGTTGACACAATATTGATTTATATCTTAGGGTTATGAGTTTTTTAATGTTAGAATGACTCCCAAGTCAGAGTTACGTTTTTACACAATTAAAAAAAAAGTTTTCTAAAAATGGTTATATATCGAACTGAAAATGCGTGGTCCAAAGAAAGTCCAAAGAAAAGATTCAGGACGTCTGAAAGCCTATAACCAAGAACAAAATTACAAGAAAGTTTAGTAACTTGGAAGCAAAATATAAAATAAATAAACAGCTACTTATGGAAGAAATGCACATCACTTAGACTTGCATGCCAGTGTTTAATGAAGATCTTCAGCAATCCATTAGCGCTCAACGTATGTGTTGGGGATGACCCTCAACTACTACCACACCAAATTTTAACTCGGGCTCTGTTAAACTTATTGATTTATTACCATCTTTATGTTTACTGAGGTCAGTTAGCTGTGGCAGCCATCTTGAATTGGGCTTCTTCCGAAAGCTGGTCAGTTCTATATGTGCATGTAAATATTTTAAAGGGTTTTATTAGAATCCATACAGTTAGGGATATTTTGCTAACAGGCAAGCACTAACACAAGATGTTTCAAGTTTTTCACATAGTACTGCATATAGATTATTAAAAAAAATGTATGGTTTATAAAAATGATACATACATTCCATGTTAATTGTACTCCAAAAATTTACAATTATTTTAAATTTGTCCGCTTTTTTGTTGATGGTGAGCTATTTATTTTTGGTTTATTATAGAAACAATATTTTTTTAGTAACACAAAGCACACACAAATTGAATGACTGAGCGGTTTGTCAGGTTATTCAAGCAAAACGTTTCACCTTTCATCCAAAAATGCATCACATCTTCTTAGATAAGTCCAGATGTCTTATTAAACACCTGCAGATGATTTTTCTTTTACAATTATATAAGTTCCCTAAAGGAAAAGTACTTTCAAATGGGATTGTGACCCATCACTTTATTCCACATTAAGAGTTGAACCTTTATGAGCTTATTCAGAATGATAAATGTGAGTACAGTATCTCCATTACAGAGCTAATATATATCTATACAGTACGGTGTGAAGATACAGGTGCCATTTCAACATTATCTTGCTTGTCACATTTAGGCTGTGTATATCTAAGGCAAGAAGCAGTGAGTTTAATAATGCAGCCTTCAACGTGACTGAGTGCCCCACTATTAATCACATTAATGACTCAGAGAGAAAGCCAGATGGATTTGGGTCCCGGTTTGTTCGTACGGAGGAGGAAATGAGAGATGGCATTATTAGAAAAAAGGACCTTTAAAGAAAGAAGTTTGCCTTACTTGATGTTAGGCTCATAATCCTGATAGCTGGTTATGAAAGAAAAAAAAAAACAGGCAGAAATAAATGAAATCACATGAAAGCAAAAGTGAGGCATAAAAAGTGAGGATAGGAGACTAAAGCTACAAATTAAGACAAGGAGAAGGATTCACGGAAAAGAAAGGGATTAAAGCGATATTCACTGCATCTAAACTTCAACATGGAGACCAGAGGGTTGTGCGTTTATGGAGGGATTTGTTTCAGATTTACAGGTGCTAAGTGAATTATCTCAGTTCACAGGAGTGAGTCGCTGCTTTCCTAAACGGTGGCAGACTTTTGCATTTAAGCTCTCATAAATAGGCCAGGTGTGCTCGAACAAAAAAAAAAAAAAAATGGAGAAAAAATGATTTATGGATTCACCAGCGCGAACATTAAACATGATTTTCCCAGAGCTGTCTTAATGACCTGGTGGGAGAGGTACTTCATCAAGGCGACTGGCCCCAGATTGGATAGAGAAACACAAAAAAAAAGGTCCAAAAAGTGAGCTTCTGTCCTATGGCGGTTTTTGTCTAAAGCGTGGTGGATGACAGATACGAAAGGTCACAGGACAATGCATCTTAGAGGACGGGCAAAGACGTGGCTACATGACTCATTTCAGCATGTCCTTTTCTGGAGTTATCAGATAAAAACTCTGGGAATGGTTCTGATGATTGCTTGGTTGAAGCTTCGAGGCTGAAGTTAATAACGGCTTTGACCTGTCAGAGGTTTTGCCTGAAAGCTACTAAAACACTTTCGCTGATGACACTGTTATATTGTAAGCATCATTAGGTCTAAAAACGTTTATGCAAAAGAATGTTATTGGGGAAAAGTTCAATTAAAATGGGTATTTTAAGCAAAGTAAATGTTCCATGGGGGAAAGCTTTGGTTTAAAAATTTAGAGAATGAGTTTCATTCAGGAAGTCTTGATTTTATTTTGTATTTTTCCAGATTTGTATCTTTGCTACCATATTTTTATTTGTTCAGTGAACAAAATGGATACAAAATTGAGATAAGGTCCAATTTTGATAGATTTTAAAGAGAAATGTGCATTTTCTGTGAAAATTCAGTGCTGAATGACTACTCACATTTCCTATAGCTGACCTGAAAGGATAATGTTATACCAAGAAGCTAAAATTAGCAAAAATTGAGCTAAAAGTTATAATAATAAAAAAACTATAGATAAGAGCTAAAGTTAGCTACACCATAGATAAAACATAAAATTAACATCAAGAGTAAAGAGCTAAAATTAACTAAATAATAGCTAAAAATTAAAAGTAACACAACTGTATGAAAAAGGCAAAATTAGCAAAATAGGCTAGAATATATAAACAAAAAATCCAAACAATAAGATAAATTTAGCTAAACCGTAAGTAAAAAATGAATTAGCAAGAAGTTGGTGAAATCTAAAATTAACAAAAATGTTGCCAAAACATAAAAAATAGCTGAACTTGAAAATTAACAAAATAATAATTATATATATTTAAAAAAGCCAAATACAAGGAAAACTGAAAATAGCAAAATAGTGGAAATGCACTAAAACATATGACATTGTCTAAGCAAAAATAAGCAAAACAGTAAAAAAAAAAAATACCATACAAAGTACGTTAAAGCTAAAATTATCAAGTAAAATTATCATGAGACAAAACAAATAAACTATTATGAAGATTTTAAAGAGCGTAAAGTTAAACAGCTTGAAAAGACCCCTGTGCATTTCTATAAAAATAAAATTGTAAATAAAGGTAAATATTTTACTAAATATGCTGGTTAAATTAGATTATTGTGAAAAAATTAAACTGTTGTTGCCAGTCATTTCACAAAGTGAAACTTATATAAAATTCATTACACATAGAGTGAAATATTTCAAGCTTTTATTTCTTATAATTTAGATAATTATGGCTTACAAAGATCTTAAGATTGACAACTTCCTGGGATTAAGAGCTTTAAAAAAAAATATATATATTTTTTTATATTAAATATCCTTATCTGCTGGACTTAAACCAATGTCTCACATTTAATAAAGTAGGGTTCTGTGGAAAGTCTGTTTTTGCATTACTGTAGTTATTTCCATAAAACTAGGTTTATTTGAAGATACAAATAGCAGCAGCTAACTAGCAGTAGCACTCCCAATGCATCCTGCAGCACTTCTAGCAGACAAAATAACCATATGTTAAAGGTAGTAACCTTGTAATGTAAACATATTGTGGTGTAAATGTGTATAAAACAGTGTTTGCATGAACAAATCCAAAATTTTTGAGATTGGAGTTGTTTTAAGACTTTGGTCTCTGCTTGTTTTAGCCGTTAGCTCATCAGTTTGGTGAGAACTAAACTTCATTTCTTCAAACTGAGATCACTCAAACAGCCATCTGCAACAGGATAAATTAAAAATGTTCATAACCTTCCCATGCAACCCTGCTTCAAATGATCTGAATAACAAATATTTGTGTTGATTCGGTCTCATTGAATGGGATGAAAATTCATATTCAGAAAAGGGAATAAAAACAAGAACAAACAGGAGCATTATTGCTTTTCTAAAAAAAAAAAAAAAAAAGTAATTACGATTTCATATTATTAATGGGAAAAACAACAACTGTATTTTCTTTTCAAACCATGAAATCTAGACCCATGGTCGTATTACAGTATCTGCGATCCAACTTCTTGACTCATCAAAACCACAGATCTGAGCAAAACACCTGAGCAACATGCCATAATACTATAAATATAATAGAGTGGCAGAAGAGTTATTTCAGCTGAGAAAAGTGTTATTGTTCTAGTTGTTGAACAGAAAGACCCAAAATGAGATGGTTTTAAGCCGACTGTGGCGTCAAATTACCTGTTTCCAGCCAAATGGCTTGATTTGCAAAGGTTTCATTTATTGTCACAGATCATTTATGGAGGAGGCTGTGATTGGACAGCTCAGCCCGCTTCAAATGGGCACATGAAGTCGTTTCATAGGCTGTTTCTCAGAAGAGAAGTGCTGCGATCAGCCCAACTGGGAGGTCATTATTTAACCAAAGGTATGCTTAATATGCTAATCACCTAAAAGTAATTAACATATCACTGAAGTCAAGTTTTTGATGCCAGCGAAGATCTGGTTTTCATCTTTAACAGGAAAGCATTTGAAAGTTTCAAGCAGTTTGTGTTGTAAATATGTTACATTCTGAGGTTTGTTTGGGGTTAAAAGGTACAAAAAACTGGGGTCATGTTGCAGTTAATGAATCAGAGGACTGTAACAGTCTCCATTAAAGGGGAGAGAGGAGGGAGTGGTGGTGGTGGTGGGGGGGGACCAAACACATCGAAAACACAATATCAATTCTACTTTACACCCTCGACTGAGAAATGTTGCATCTTACCGGTGCCATTCGACAACAGCACATCCATCATAATAACGATAGCTGAAGTGAAAAGAAGGAAAAAAAAAAGGTGACATGACAAACAGAAAGATGCTGGAGATAAACATGGTGCGAGATTTAAACAAAGGAGGAAGTAAGCGCTAATCAAAAGCAGAAAAACAGACGGAGAAAGAGATGTGCAGTGAACCAGATGAAATATTTATACGAAAACAAGGCAGAGTGATGAAATCTGAACAGAAGACTTGACATCAAACCAAAAGATGAACCAAAAGAAGACGTTAAAAAAATGGTTAACAGACTATTAACTGGAGTTTCCACTTTGAGATCATCAAACCAGTTCAGCTTGATGAGTCGTTTGGGGGGGAAAAGTTAAATAATAATTGAAAAAATAATAGATAAAACAAGGCATGAGACGCAGACAGGTCTGTGCTTCATATGTAAGTGTTTCTTTGATCATAACTGCTGTTAAACACTCCTTCTTTCACTCTGAGATTAAACACAGTCACCTGTTGATGATTGTGACAAAGCATGTGCAGCTAACAACACTCAATTTTTGTGAACCTGTTTGTGCAGTTGAGCGTTTGGTAATATGTCAAAAACTACACAAGATGAATGAAAGGCTGAGAAAAGCCAAGCCAATTTAACCTGTTTTTAACCCCAAAGGGAGTGTAAAACATTGAGTGCTGTTTTGAGATAAGAGAGACTTGGAGTCAGAGGGTCAGTCATGTGGCACGTTTAGGAGGGTGTAGTATTATAAATCACATCGTATACACATCATACTTACTAGGCAGTGACTATATATATAACATCGTATACACATCATACTTACTAGGCAGTGAC